CGAAGTTAAGCCAGTCCCTATAAGAATGGAAACAAAAGAAGCACAAATGAAAAGGGAAATTCAAATTAATTTTAAATTAACTTCTCTGAAAAGTTTTGTTTTCAAAACAAAGAAAAAATGCAATGAAGATGAACACTGAACTATCAAGACAATCTGAGAGTATAAATTAGCACAGAAAGTAATCAGTATCTCTCCACTTTAATCAATAAATATTCAAACCAGCAACAAAACTGCTTGAATACGAGGTTTACTCAAAATTAGAGCACTCTGCTAATGACTAGAGATGTCTTCAAGGTTTCTACACATAGTTCAATATGCAGAGAAGAAACACTCCTTTAGAGTCTGCAAAATTGTTCTTAGGTCACCTAATGAAATTTGATAAATCTTTCCAATTAAAAAAGTCTTTGTTCTATATTCGGCCTACAAAACAGGTCCTGTATTTAACAATTTTAACAAAACCATTCAGAATTATACTGTCTTTATCAATAGTAAAAATCAGTTGAATCTGATTTTCCACTCATACTTTCAACTGTACCCCAAACTAGTTATATGCTTAAACAATCTAAAGTACAATGTTGCACTCATTTTTCCAAGTTACCATGCCAAGTTGCAACTAAGGTCTCATCTTTAAGCAAACCACACCAACAGAGTATACATTTCCTAGTGGAGACAAGTGAGCCAACAGAAACAAAATCACATAAATTAAATTAAAAAGTGGTCAATGACTTGAGATTAAACAAATCGGTGAATATGTTTGCCTGTAGTCAAATTACTGCTTTGTTGCTTTACTTACTTGCTGGCTCTATGACCTTATGCCATATTGGGGGGAGCGGGATTTCACTGTATCTGTTTTCTCTTGTAACAGAATAGAGAAGATAATATTATCTCTTATGAGATAATATTGTGAGGATCAAAAAAGTTGCTATATGAGAAATGCTTAGCATAGTGCCTAGCATGTGTTAAATGCTATAATTGTTATTCCTTATGAAAACAAATGGGATGACTGGTAACTAATGAGTTTTCCTAAAGGTACATACGGCCTTTGATATTATCCTACTAGTTGTCTGCACACTCCAGTTCTGAGCTTATTCAATCAACATATACTTAATCAGCATCAGGTTTATTCCAGGCATTGTACTTATACTTCAACCATAAATGTCTCAATTTTTTTATTTATGAAAATTAGCTTAAACAATCCCTTATTATCAAAGCTCGCTGTACTGTATGTCATGCTTAGTATAATTATTTTTGATAATAGTTATCAACCTACCCTTTTCTGATTCATTTAAAAAAGCTGCTTTATAAAAGAAAATTTCAAGCACATACAATGACTGAGACACCAGTATAACGTGTTCTATATGCCTATCATACTGCTTTAACCATTAACACATGAGAAATTTAATTTTATCTTTACATCCACTTCAATTACTTTAGGACAAATACCAAAAATATTAATTTCTGAAACTGTTCAGTATTTATTATTTATTTCAAAAAGATAATCTTTCTAAAAACATCACAGTAATACTGCACCTAAAATTAATTTATTAATAATTAATCATTCCGTTATATTAAGTAATCAGTGTTCAAACTTCCCCAAGTAACAAATAATTTCAGTTTTTTTTAATCCATCAGATCTGGCAATTAGGCAACACATCAGTGAAAGTGACCTAACAATTATTGTCACAGGGTTAATAGATGATATAAACCAGATTACAGCAAGCCAGGAAATGAGCAGGACTATGGAAATGGAGATAAATGTATATGCTCTTCTTTGGACATGCTCAAACATAAGAAAATGGACAAAAACTAGGAGCTACATGCAGGATCAGGATCAAAGAGGAGATGACTATATCCATAAAATGAAAAGAGAAGAGAAGCTATACAGGACATAGGAAAGATAAAGGGGCAGGGGGGAGGGGGAGAGAGAAAATTAAGGTGCTAGACATGACAGAACATGGCTAACCTTTAATACAGGAGTTATAACCCAAATTCACACTAAAGGAAAGAGGTTATGTGGGTGAGTATGACATTAGGAAAGCTTGTGTGTGTATGATAGGTGTGGAAATTGGAAGGAAGTAGAGGGAAAGAAGTCAAACACTTAAAATGTTCTGTTTTCTTATAAACTGACTAGGAAACACAACCACTGATCAAAAAGCAATAGGGTACTTGGAAAGGATTATGGGGGTGGGGGTGGATTTGCTGACATGTTGAAGATCTAGATGGAATTTGGGCAGACTGAAAAGAGACAACCAATCAGATAGGTAACGAATTAATCAACACCCATATCTTAGACAGCTTTCAAAAGCAACTTCAAATGTTACCCATTCCATGAAACATTTCTTAGTGTCCTTATTAAGCAACGATTTTTTTCTCCTTAGAACCTGTTTTATTTCTAGAAATGGTTTACTTCCATTTATTACATAAATGTAATAATTTATGCACTTTTCTTCTTTCCCAGCTGCCAGACTTCAAGCATTTTGTGAATGCTTATCTGTTTGTCACAGGGTCAAAGAGAGTATGTTACAGCATATAATTTAGAATCTTATTTCCTCTTTTAAAAGTGACATAATTTAATAACTAAAAGCACAAAACAGTAACTATTTGAAATGTTGAGAGGACCCACTGCAGACTGGGGCCAATTATGAAATAGCTCAGAGATCAGAGAATTGAGGTGGGTCTTGAAGGGATGAAAAGGCAGGATAGAATTTAACCTGAATAGGGAAGTATAAAGAGGGAAATGCTTCAAGGGTTGGTTTTTAACATACTTAAATATATTGTACTATTTATTAGCAGATAACATTAAGCTCTTTCAGTAAGAAGTGGTTTCATAAATAAGACAAAAATGTTTACTACAATGTGGGGATAGGGAAAAAGTGATTTTAAATATAGAAAAGTTCACTTTGGGGAAATTCATTCAAATTATATGTAAAATACAATAAAGTACATTATATTCCAGTGAACCAAGTAGGAAATATAGGAAAAACTAGAACTGGAAAACGATCATTCTGATAAGTTCACAGTTGGTTGAACCACCATTGGTAAGTACAGATTATTAAAGACAAAGTTCAAGTCTCATATTGAGCCTTCAAAGCATAGATGACATTGTGTGAAAGATTTACAAAATTCTGAATATAAAATTGAAATGGACAGCCTTAACAGCATAAGAAATCTATTTTATATACTTATCACACTTTTTTAAAAACTTGGTTTGTGCCATTCTGGATGTGCAGAAGGGTTATTCTGACTTTGCCTTGGTGCATTTTTCTGTGCAACCAGATATATGACCCTCATTCCTAGATTTAAAGAGAGAGCAAAAGAGAAAGAACTTGGGATATACTGCCCCCTGAGGCCCAAAACACAAAAACTAACTTCCTAATACCTCATTTCCTCTCAGAGTTGTACTACCAACAACCAACCCAATTCTATTCACAGCACCAAAGCCTAGCTAGTTACAGACTTCTACACCCCTTTCTTGCCCACCAGCAAATGTTCACAAAGTGAACAATGAATAACAAGGCACAATTTTGAGAGAAACCCTTACAATTTTAAAGATACTATAAAACTGACGGAGATAAACACAGATCAAGATAACACCCCAGAGCAGTACTCTGTAACTACTCTATCTTGAACCATAATTCATAAACTGTTAGGTAATGACAGAATTGATAGTTCTCAGAATCAGGTTTTGTCAACCTTACAGTCTCTGTTGCAACTATTAAACTCTGCCATTGTAACATGAAAACGGCCATAGACAATAAGTAAATAATTAGCAAAAACACTGTTAAGCAGTGGTTTACTAACCCCTAATCTGGTCATAATTAGGTTTGGTTGTAACAACTTGCTAGATGGAACATTTTTTTTTAAAGTTTAAAATAGAAATAGATACCTACTACATGTGATGGTAACTGTGTAAGAAATTCACAAAGGAAAGCCTGAACAGAAATACTAACATAAAATGTGAATATCTGGGATGGTGATGAACAGTTACGGGTAACTGTTCAGAGTATTACCTTTAAAATATTTAAGAAATTGTAGAAGTTCAAAATGGAAGATAAAATGGATTAACAAAGAAGTAACTTCAGTCTATGCTAACTGCTATTAAAAACAAACAAACAGGGTACTGCTTATAACAGAATCATGGATAATATGAGGAGAGTAGGAAGTGACAGAAAACATCTCTAAAGCAGTGACATTTATGCTGACAGTTGAATGGTAGCTGTCAGTGAAGAGATGACAGAAGAACAGTCTACTCAGAATGCATAAGCAAGCAAAGGTATTGGTGAGAATAAAAGAAACTGGTGTTTTGGGAAAAGAAATTAAACAAATGAAAAATAATGATCAACAGAGATGAGGTTTTAATAAGACAAAAAGGAAGTGACACCGAATTGCCAGGTAAAGACATTCCAAACAAGGGAGGATCAGCGTCATAGAACAGGAATGAACAGGCAAGGAAGATTCTGAATGATTTGGGAGTTCTAGGATCTCATTCTTCCACACAAGAGGCCTTATGATCTTTATAACTGCCCATGTCCTCTGACCTATCTTGAATCAAGAATTCTAAGCTAGTCATTTTCTTTCTTTACATACCCCAGTACAGTCAGAAATAACCAGCCCACCAATGTCTTACACTACTCATTTTCTGTGGACCTTTTGTAATAGCTGCTTGGTCTACCAGGATTCTGCCTTCAGTAGGCACTTTGGTTTATGAAGATAAATAAGTTACTGAAAACACTGTGAACCTGCAAAACTGCTACTGGGTGAAATCATCGAGATTTGGAGATTTATTTGTAATGACAGCATAGTACAGAGACTACTAATAAAGAGACCTATTAAGAAATATTTCCCTATTCTGACAACTCGAAAGACTATAACAAATTCACTACCCATTTTAAATAGTTTAGAGCTAACTTTGACATACAGATACACAGGGGTATAAGACACATGTTCATACACAGAGATGTATAAATAAAAGAAATTTTTGATAAGAATATTTGACTTACAGTGTGAGCACATTTCCAAAGGATAACTTGCCTCATTTCCCTGGAGGGGGGGAAAAAAAAAAAGTCACAAAGTTGGCACAGATTTCTTTGAAAGATCAAACTTAAATATTAAATCATAAAATATAGGGAATTAAGTCATAAACTAATGTGTCTAGATCTGTAAGTTATATCTTTCCTTTTATTTATTCATATATATTTTATATCATTGTTCATTTTTGCACAATGTTTATTTTTTCCTCTCAGGTGTAGTCCCCCATAAATTTCCACCACCAGGTCACTAGTGCACCATCACTAGTCACTTGTGCTCTTCCCTCCCCTGCTGTGATTCCACTCCCTTCCCCTTCCCCACAGAATGTCTCTGATTTTTAGTTGCCTGTTAATTTTGGGTTTTGATTTTTTTTTTCCCTGATGCCTCATTTGGTTCCCCTATAGTCTTCCTATAAGTGAAACCATCCAATATTTTTCTTTTTCCTTCTGGCTTATTTCACTGAGCATAATCCCTTCCAGCTACATCCAAGTTGCTGCAAATGGCATGAGTATCTCTTCTGATTGCTGAATAGTATTCCATTGTGTACACAGACCACATCTTCTTGATCCAATTCATCTATTTTTGGGCATTTGGACTGTTTCCATATCTTACCTATAGTAAATAGTGCTGCAATAAACATAGGGGTGCAGGTACCCTTTTGAATTAATGTTTTTGTGTTCCCTGGTAGAATCCTAGGAGTAGAATTGCTGGGTCATATGGTGGCTCCATTTTTAGTAGTGTGAAAAACCTCCACAGAGCTTTCCATAGTATTTGGACCAGTTTGCATTACCACCAGCAGTGCAGGAGAGTTCCTTTTTCTCCACATCCTCGCCAACATTTGTTGCTGTCTGCTTTTTTAATGTGTGCCATTCTCAGTGGTGTAAGGTGATATCTCAATGTGGTTTTGATTTGCATTTCCCTGATTATAAGTGATGCTGAACATTTTTTCATATACCTGTTGGTCATTTTCCTTTCCTCTCTGGAGAAGAGTCTTTTTAGCTCTTCTGCCCTTTTTTTTTGACTGGATAGTTCAGCTCACTTTGGTCTCTCTTTGTAGATCTTTGTGATCAATCCCTTAGCAGTTTATAGATGTAAGTTACATCTCTTTGTAAGAAAAAAGTATACCATACGACAGACATCTGGAATCAAACAGGTCTGAATGGTGGCTGCCATTTAAGGCTTATGAAAACATTTAATTAAAATTTATTTTAAATATTTTAATACCCTACAGATGTTATATAATCAATTTTAACACAATGGAAACAGTCAATGCTATGACTTGTCTTGCTAGGTGAACTCATTTTGGGATAGAGTTCAGAATCAAGCTTGTTCTGCCAGTCTGCCTATTTAACTGAAGAGTTTTCTGACATTACAAAGCTGTTATAAAGGGGGAAAAAATCTGTTACCATTTATACCTGCATTGAAACAGAATTTCCTATATGCTGTGCAACTGAAATAAAAACATTAACAGGAAGGTGAGTTAATGTAAGACAGCCAACAGCTTAAACTCAAGATTTTTCTTTTCATGGACATCTTACTTCACAGGTAGGTTCTGGTATAATTTAAATGTCTATCTTTCTAAAAAATCAACTATCTGTCCTCTGCACCAGGATTCCATGTGAAATTTAAGGGAAATAAGTACTCCAGGAAAACTACAGAACTGGCCAAATCCTGTACTCTTGTTAAATACCAGGTTGGAAGTCCATACCATTCAATTAATAATAGAACCAGGAATAGTTCTAAATGTGAAACAGTAAAGAATCCAAATACAACAGACTTATAAGAGGTAAAAATCATAAATATCTTTAAAAACAAGCCACATAATTCAAAGTAATGTAAATTAAGTTTTTAAAATCAGTGATAAATTTGAGTTGACCAAGCATCTCTGTCCCCTTTCACCTAATAATAATGTCTAACAATAAATGCACAAAAGGATATAACACTTGAATATTTGAATATATCTGTTCTACAAACTTCTGAACACAGCCTAAAAAACTATTTTAGTCGGCCTAGCTGGCTTTTAAACTCCTAAAAGTATCCCTTATTCTATGCAAACTTTATCGGTAAATATATTCTTGTCATAGTCCCAATAATTAGTCCTTTCCTTACAAATTATAGCAGTTAATTTTCTAGAACTAGTTAAATTTTAGGTCACTTTAAATATCAAATATATATTAAGGTTAGGGCAGAAGAAATAGGAAATATTAATAAAGCTAATGTCAAGTTAATGAGCAGAGATGATCTTAAGAATTTTACCATGATTCCTATCTTTTTACTGCCTCATATATTCCTTCAACTTATTCCACTCTACTTTAAAGTAAGTGTTTCTTACAATGCTTTCAAAAGAATATAATGATACTTTGGATTGTCACTTATTTTTTTAAGTTTTATTTATTTATTTATACAAGCACTGGGTACAGTCAGAAGTGCAGGAGGGTGAGAGAACTCACCAGAGCCAGAGCGAGGAACAGAACAGGCAGACTGATGAAATACACTGCTGAGGGGAGCAGCGAGCGCTGCAGGAGAGGTCTGTTGTGCCATGTAGGACTCTCGCCTGGCGGTCAGGGATTGAACCGGAGCTGCAGAGACTGCGGGCAGCTTTGCAGCCCAGCGTCCAACCGCTGCGCCACCAGGGGAGGCCCCTGGATTGTCATTTTTTATGATTAATGCTGGAACTATTTTAAAAGCAAGAGCTAAGGGATAGGTGGTAGGTTTTGGAAGGACTTTGACACCAGGTTCTTGTTTCTCCAGTCCATTGACCTTTTCAAAGTTACCAATTCTTCATAAATGATTACTTCCATCCTCCTCCTATATCACTCCCTGCTAGCCAGCACCATAAGATCCAACGATCAGCCTACCTAGGTCTTTTCCACCACACAGAATGTCTCAGATCACTTCTAAACTTAGACTCCACATATCCAAAAGGCTATTCCAACCTATGTTATTTTATACCCAACAAAAATATCATTGAAATATAAAGGCAAATGCTTTTTCCAAATAACCAAAAAATAAATGAACTTGGCTCCAAACACACAAGTATAAGAAACATCAAAAGAAAATTCTCCAGCCAGAAAAATTATGCTAGATGGAAATCTGGATCTAGTTGTATAATAAAGATTATAAGAAATAGTTAACGTGTAAGTAAACATGTCTACGCTTGACTATTTTAACACAAACACATTAATAATGTATGTGGGATATTTAATGTGCGGAAGTAAAATGTAATACAACAGCATCACAAAAGATGAGCAAGAAAAATGTACGCATATTGTCAAAATCTTACACTATCAGAAAAATAACACATTATTTAAATTAGAGCATGCACGCCTCCCTGGTGGTGGCGCAGCGGGTTGAGCACTGTGCTGTGAAGCTATCCACAGTCTCTGCAGCGTGGGTTCGACTTCTGGCCAGCCACGGAGCAACCCACATGGTGCGGCAGACCTCTCCTGTCTTGCCTGCTGCTCCCCTCAGCAGCGTCTTCAGTCTGTCTGCCTGTTCTGCTCCCTGCTCTGTCTCTGGTGAATTCTTTCACCCGTCTGCGCCTCTGACTGTACTCCAGTTCTTGTATAAATAAATCTTTAAAAAAATTAAGTTAAAAAAAGTAGAGCATGCTGTTAAAGATGCACACTAAACCCTAGAAAAACCAATTTCCAATAAAAAATGAACTATATCATAGAGAATATTCAGCCAAAAGAAGGTATATAAATAGGAAAAAAGGAACAAAAACCAAATGAGAAAAGTATATAGAATAACTAATATAGCAAGATGGTAACTTTAACATTTTGAGAATCATGTTAAGTGTAAATAATCTAAAAACTCTAGGAAGATACAACTACGTATTACTATCTACAACAGGCCTACTTTAAATAGGTTTAATCTTTAAAAAAATAAAAACAGGGCTCCAACTGGTGGCACAAGGGGTTAAGATGCAACCTATGAAGGTATCCGCAGCCACTGCAGCACAAGTTCAATCCCCAGCCAGGGAGCTATCCACATGGCACGGCAGACCACTCCTGACTCACCCGCTGCTCCTCTCAGCAGTGTATTTTAGTCAATCTGCCTGTTCTGCTCCCCACTCGGTCTCTGGTGAATCCTCTCACCCTTCCTCATCTCTGGTCTACACCCCAGCTCTTGTATGCATAAATAATTAAATCTTTAAAAAAATAGAACAGAAAAAGATACACCATACAAATACTAATCAAAAGAAAGATAGTGGCTAGTAACACTAGATACTGTGGAGTTCAGAACGGGAATAGTATCAGGAATAAAGAGAGCTATTTCATAACGTTAAAAGTCAATTTGTTAAGAACATGTAATAATCCTAAATATACTGTAACTTATAATAAGAAACATATTCGGTGTTCATACCAGGTCCTGGCTCAGAGCTCCTAAAACCCTTGGAATTTCTTAAGGAGAGAGACACAAAGGTGTCGTTTGTTACATTAATAGGAATGTACTTAAGGATAGGATCTGGTTGCCAGAAGAAGCAACTGTCAGTCCAACACCCAGAGGCCAGAGGCTGAATCACCAATGACCAGTGATTTAATCAATCATGGCTATGTACTGGAGCTGCCATAAAATTCCAAAGGTTGAAGGTTTGAAGAGTTTCCAGGTTGATGAAGAAGTGGAGATTTGGGAGTGGCATGCCCTTTCCTACCTTGCTCTATGTAAAATATTTCTCTGGGTTCTGTGAGTCATTCAAGCAAATTAATCAAAGCAAAGGGGGGAATTTTGGAACCTCCAATCCATAGTTGGTCAAAAGCAAAGATGACAACCTGGATTTGTTATTAGTACCTGAATTGGGGATGGGGTAGTACAGTGTGAGTCTTTCAGAATTGAATACTGTGGAATCTGATGCCATTCCTAGATAGTGTAATAACTGAGTTACACAACACCCAGCTATTGTCTGAGAATTTTGTAGATATGTGGGTAAACCTGCCCCCCCACACACACACAGCATGCATGTGCACAATTAGGTCCCAGAAATGTAAGAGAAAGAAAACAGGTAGACA